CCAGTTTTTGCAACGACGGTTGCTACGGAGTTGTACCGAAATTTTCTTATTGCCACGGAGTTAACTCCGGAGTTGCCCAACACTGACCCACACCCACACCCCACACCCACACCCACACCCATACCCACACCCACCCACATCCACACCCACACATCCACACCCATACCACACCACTCACCCTACACACACACCCACACCCTTTTGGCTAAAATGATCATTGAAGAAAAATCTTGATGATAGGCTGCTGGTCAGAAGAAAAAAAAACCTTGTCTTTAAATATTATCATTTCTACAATAATAAATATTCTCATTTCTACAATAATAAATATTATCATTTCTACAACAATAAATTTTATCATTTCTACAATAATAAATATTATCATTTCTACAATAATAAATATTTGATTTATTTAGTTGGAAACAAAAAAAAATGTCGCTTATTATATGAAACATATGCCGAATAATTACGACAATACTGGATCAAGGTAATAAAAAGCAATATACGATTGGGAAAATAATAATGATAATGATAATAATATACGTGTGTCGGATGAATGATTGCAAATGTTTACATTTTTCTTTTTCATTAGTAATTCTTGTCAGCATAGTCCTTGATAGCGCTATGATGTTGAAGTTACATACTTTTGTTAGAGTCTATATTACAGAGCAGATGGCTCATAGTCATAGAGTACTTTCTATAAAACAAGAATATATGAGCCAGATATTGCTTCTGTTAGTTTGTGAGCATCGTGGCTCTCATTCATCTTTTTGCCTTCTAGCACTTGTTCTGTTCTTCAACTGGTTGTTAGATCTCATTATTCACTTGTCTTCTTTATTTCATGCTTCGTTTTGTCATGATTTGTTTTCATTTAATCAATACATTCATTTCGGCGCCACGGAGCATTGGAAATCGCGACCATATGTTCCAGAATGCTTTGTCATGGTTTATAAATCATACTGATGTACCACCAGTTATTTTTATGTAAGCTTGTTACAGCATTTAATAGTGGAGAACTTCGATAATTAGACCATCTGTTCTTTTCAAAAACTCTGAATCGTTCCAGAAAGTTTAAAGGTATTCGATTGGTCTAGAAATGTGTTCGCATTGATTTTCCTCCTTTTCCGATGGAGAGACCGAAGTGGGATATTTCCATCACATTTTGCAGGTATTATGGCGAAACGAGAAGAAAAAGAAAATAAAGCAGTTCCGATAAGTAAGAAAAATACAATCCTGGACACAAATAGAGGTTCCTCTCGTCTGATGTGATACCATTTTTGAAGCTTTTGGACTGATATTTTGAATCCGAATGCACCTCGATGTACCATAATCGCAAGCTCGACTCAGTTACTATTGACTCAGATCTACTAAAGTTACAGTTTGAACAAGATCTTTATCTTGTAAACTCTATATCTCAACTGGTTTTGAACTTCGATTTTTGCGATATTCATTAATCAAAAGGTCATTGTCGTAGTTATTTTCAGACCAGATTTGGTAAGAAACTACTTTCAAATGATTGAAACATAGTCTTCGCACTTGAAACTTCAGCTAGGCTACAAAGTTTAAATGTCATTTAGAGACATCAAACTCAAGATAGCTGTGAGCAACTTACTTGAAAATTTCACCAGAAAGCCGTCATGGATGCATGAATTTCTGCTCAAATTTTCAGAACTATATTTCTAAATGGAGACAAGATGACGCTATTTCATTAGTCATTTATGACACAGTTTGCTATCTGCTTAGATCTTGAGAACATGGGTCGGTCTTTAAATACAAAGAACTATGTCAATGGGCCATTGTATTTTGCTTCAAAAAGTGTCTCTAGCTAGTCTTGAAGTAGTGTCACTACGAAAATATTTTCTGCAAGATGTTATAAGATGCATCGCAGTAGAAGCGATCTATGTTCACGCGTGGTCTGAAGAGCAGTGACATTTTTCCTGAACTTCAATGTATGGAGCTTTTTTTTGACTGAAGAAATCGTCGAATCATTTGTTTTTGAGTACGAATTTGAATTGCACTCTTCTTTGAAAACCTTCTTTTCCAAGGACAGTCTGGGGTGTGGGTGTGAGTGTTATGTATTTGTCGCTGGGTAGGTGGAAAACACACCCACATACAGTTTACAGTGACCATAAAGCCGTACTACTCATATTCTTATTGTTTTGTTTGCTTAGTAATCGATCTAATATACTCTCACATAATTTTTTTCAATTCTGTTTGAAGAGGGTACAAATGCTATACAAAATGATTTTATAAACTATAATAACAATTTGAATTTCTTACTTTTAGTTAATTTATTTTTATTAAGTAGGAATATAGCTATGGTTATCCAACTTTAACTTATCGTGATCAAGAAGATATTTGCTTATGATGATAATCATCATTAATAGAAGCTAAAGAAGCCATAAAATACTTTTATTGCAGGTGAAATGACTTGTATGTCCATTTTTATTGTTTGAATAAAGAGTGGATATAAAGTTGGATGAGATTAGTTGCTCAAATGAATAATCAACTGTAAAAGGTGACTTTTTCAACTGTAATATATATTATGAATGTATGTAAGGTTCTTTACAAAATGTAATTTACTCATCAGACTTAAATAAGAATGTTTGTTCTTGAAGAATATGTTGGTTTAGATGAACTCACATAAAGAATCTCATTAAAAGCCCTTCAGGTCATTGTGCAGATATTTTGTAAATTTGTCATCTATCCTGCTTTCAATGAGTTGAACGCTGATGAAAACCTGACTTCGGTCGAAGGTTCATATTTCTATTCTTACTCTTTTTAGTATACAAGAACAATAACTTCACAAAGTTAGTAGAATATGAATGCCATTCATCATTACAAAATGTGGATAAGAGATGCGAAATATCTATTATTACTGACCATAGTAATTTTCATTTACATTGGAATCAAGTTCTTACATGTTCACAACGCCTATAACTCAGATTTACCATACATCCAGTCAAATTGGTTGCAACCGTCTCACCGAAATCAAGAATTGAGTAAACAGACAATACAAAAAGTTTCTCCAACTGAACGTAGTTATGATGCACGATATCGTAATATAAATTTATTAAAACCATTAAAAACAATTCCTAGTAAATTGACTTATTCTGAAGTAAATTTTTGTTCACCATCGTCTCCACCAATTTTATGGCTCGACAAGTATGGTAATCCACATTGGAATGAAGCAGCTGAACGTGAAATGTATACATATCTACTTGAGAAACAAACTATGAGTAATAACATGACGAACGATACAATAATTGATGAATGTCTCAAGTGTCCATTATTTATTATAAAGCAGCAAGGATGGGGATTTTTTAGTCGTTTTCATCGTTTTCTTGAGCAATTCGGTCAAACACTCTATAGTCCGTGGATGGTTCTGCTATCTTACTATCGGTTTTCAGTTTCAAATGCTGGTCGTGATGATTTCTTGAGTGAAGGTATAGTTCGTTATTTCAATCCTGTTTCAACGTGTTCGAAGTTTATTCGTCATCCTCACATGAAATCAATTCAAAGCCGTTTATATGGAGATAAACAAAATTCAGTACTTATATCTAGAATAGAAGACCTTTTGTTCGAAAATCAGCAAAAAATCTATGTAAAATTTAGATTATTAAACCCCAATACTATATGGGATTTGGGTTATGAACATGTACCTCATCGACGCTCATTATTCGATTATAATCGTGTACCTCTTGACTATAATTTTTCAGTGTCATATCTGATTAATCATACCTACGAACACATCTATCACGAACCTTCGTTATCATCTGATTACCTTAACACATGGAAATCGCGTAATCGTCCATGGGGACAATCAACAACGAATTTACCAGGCAAATCGTATCAAGTGACTTGGCAAGATCGCTTATTTGCATCATTTCTCTATTATATTTTTGTATTATATTTTCATCAACCTGCACCACGAATTCGTCAGTTGACAGATCTTCTTTCCGAACATTGGTCAACATATTTGCATGATAAAAACGGACAATCTCTTGATACTTTAGGAGGCTTATTTATTCGTCGCGGTGATAAAGCGCGTGAAGATTCGTTTTGGAAGAAGCATAGACATTGGCGTAATATTTCAATGTATGTCAAAGGTATTGTTAACGAGGAGCAACGACGAAATCAAACATTCTTAACTATTTTTGTCATGACTGATGATAGTTCAGTGATGAAATCGATACACGATTATGCCAATCCACACTCAAAAGGCATCGATGAACCATATGCGAGAAAATATCTACGTGGACGAGAAATTTTGTATAATGTATTCGCTCCACAAGCATGCTTCGATCCGTTCATTCGAATAGGATTTGAACAATTCCTTGTCTCATTAGAATTTCTTGTTCGCTATGCAAAATTTATTGTAGGTCATTCAGACTCGAACGTCGGACGATACCTCGAAGAATTGATTTATGCTCATCATCAACTGAATCCATCTATTCGAACTAATTCTTTGGTGATAGATGCACCAGATTCACTTTAGGAAATAATTCTAATACTAAATGTTCAATTAATAACCTTCATTTTATGAAGTGTATAAATATCGTTGCACTATTCTTAAGTATCACTTATATTTCGAGTTCTGACCCAATTAATTGTACTAGTTTTAGCTATCGAATGTTTCCTATAGAAGTCTTTTTCTGAAAAAGCTCTCATTCTCATTAATGATAAATCTGGTCTAAATTAACACAATTAACAATATCTTTTGAACCTTCAGTGAAATATTCATTAGTTACTACCAGTTTCATATACCATCACTGTTCAATTAATAGTCTGAGTTTGTTGCGTAGTGGTTAAAAATTATCTCCTATACCATTATGAATAGTACATTTCTCACCATTTATATCATTAGATAATGTGTAACGTTTATTCACAAAAGTCTAGTCAGTTGGAAAATGTCTCAGTGTAATAAACAGTGACTACTACTAGATTATATAAAAGTTTTATCCGTTCGTGGTTATCATCTAGGGTGTGGGTGTGGGTGTGGGTGTGGGTGGGTGTGGATGGGTGTGGGTGTGGGTGGGTGTGG